GCTTTCGCCCCCGACTCCGTTTTCCTTTTGTCTGGCATTAAATATGTATTTGTATAGGCTGGCAAATGATGCAAATAAAAGAAGGGAAAACAAAACAGAAATAATGAAGGCTGGACAACGCCGGTTCCAGATTCTAGATTCCAGATTCCAGAGAGTCTGAAGATTGCAGAAGGACCAAGAAAAGGACAATGTACCAAGGGTCCTTTGTAACCGGATATTCATGTGCCAAAACAGGATGTCTTTCTGTCTGTGCTGTGCATTAAAATTTAAATTAATTGCCATGGCCGAGGGACTGTACTTTGGGTGTTTTCCTAAGGCAACACAACTGCATATCCTGCATATCCTAGAAGCAATCATTTATGCACTTAATGGTTCTAACCAAAAGCAGCAAGGGCTTAAGCCCACACACTCGGCCGACTTTAATTGGATCATAAAACAAAGACCTCTGCCGAATATCCAAAACTCGAACGGAACTTTACAATGAGACTGCAAATTTTAATTGAGAATCCATTTCAATGCCATTAAAATTATGCCTCTCGTAATGAGTCGTGTTCAAATAATCAGCCTGTGTGATTTCATTATGCCTCCAAAACAATGGACTTAAAGCTCGTAAATTACTCCGCTCAGTTTACGGCTCTCCAAAATAACAGCAGAAATTCTGATTACTTCACAGGGGAAATCCCCTTCAAGTGAGGAACTTAAGTCCACAGTAATTAAATCACTGCGCACTTGAGGCATGGAATTTGCCCACTTAACTCCTCAGCTCCTTAGTTGTTTTCAATTATTCAATAAGCGTTACCCAATGGGCTTTATCACAAAATTGAACTCGATTTTATTTTACCTTTCCAAAATATAAGGTCTTAATCAATTAATAAACCTTGAAACAAATAGTTTAAAACAGTAAATTTATAAAAAATTGTGTTTAAAAAAAACTAAAATATGATGGAGCAATGTGAAAAAAAATATGGGCGAAAATAATAAATAATAGTACGAAATTTGGATGTCATAGGTAATAAATAAAAGAAAATATAACTTCTAGAACAAAAGAAATAAAATGCATTGAAGGTATTGTTACTTAAACTTTAGCCTCGAAGGCAAAACCTTTCCACACTTGTGCCTACTAAATCAGGGCTCAAATTGCGTATACGCCGTGTTGACTTGAAGTGCATCAATAACAGGCTAAAAGAGGAAGTAAAAAGCCGGGATGGAAACGAGGAAAAGGGGACAACAAGAGGGCTAACGAAGGGCGTTGGGAATGGGTGGGCATTAGAGTGACATTAAAGTTCAATAAAACTGAATTTATGCCCCCGATGCGAGTGAACAGGAAATCCTGTCTAGAACACACAAGTACACACACACACACACACACCCATGTGAGTCTTGCCTGATTATTTGTTTATTTGTAAGCTGGTTCAGAGCCAACCTGACACGCCTCCATTTTTTTGCAGCCTGGCATTAAATAACAAGCGTTTTTTGCGCTTGAAGAACTTTTGCCGCTTTCGCTGCTGTGGCCCATAAATTATGCTACACTTTATTATTTTGTAAAATGCCAGCCAGACAAGAAAGTCGCAATATAAAATAAAAAACTGGCACACTTTTTCCTTTAACGGCGGGGAAAAAGTTAATGTCCCAACAAATATCCCAGACTCCCAGCCACCGAACTCGTTTTTCGGACCCTTTTTTTGTGCGGATCCTTCTCGTGTGTCAACAGTGCCCGCAAAAAGTTGGTTAACCACAGAGACTAGTGGGTGTCTAGTGGTCTGTACCGCCTTTTGTTAATTGATAAGGCCCCGGCACACAAAGTTGCCAACTGAACCCTATTTTAAAGTAGCAAAACGCAAAACAAAAGTGGGCGGAAAAAATGGCATTTTCATTGTTTTTTGGGTTTTGAGTGGCAAACAAAAATATATAAATATTAATAACGAGTTGATTAAATTCACACAGCATATCCATTTGAAGGAGGCTCTACTTTCCGTCTCACACAAAAAAATTCAACTTTTACATCTTAATTCAGTAATTAAGTAAAGTTAATTAAGTAATAAAGCTATGTTATTTTTTTACAAAGAATTTTCTTGGTTTTTTTATCAAATATTTGATTTAACTAATATTATATATATGCGAGTACAATCTTTTTGTTTTCATTAATTCAAATTTTTTATAATTATTTCCCAAGAACTTTGCTTAATAATACATGTTATAATGTCCCTGTTTTTGAACTGTGATATCATTTAATTTGCTTGCCATATTCTGGCAATTCTATGCAATGCTTATGCCAAAATGGCAAAAATTTGCTAGCAATCTGTTGCCAAAAACTATTCAGCAATAAACAATGAGAGAAAGAAAACTTTTGGCATGGGTTTAAACAGGGTCACAGTTGAGGCACCTTATGGCGCACATCTGTTGTCTTTCAGTATATATACATATAATAAAATATAAATATGCCATCTATATGTATATATTTATATCTTTACATGCAACCCAAATTTTTGTATTTTTGTATTTTTGTCACCATTACTATTGATTCGCATATTTCTCTTCCTGCTGCTACTTATTATTCTATTGCCTATTTTCCTTATTCTTTTTTTATTTTTTAGAAGGTTTTTCGCTTTTTGTTTACCTTGAAACATCCTGTGCTAAATATATATTTGAAAAGGAAATTGATTTGTGGGCGCAGCTCGCAGCTACCGCTTTTGCACTGAGAACAAAGTTTTAAATTGAAACTTAAACTTAAATTAAAGCTTTACATTATAAATATGAGTTCAAGAAACCAAATGTGCATAGTTATAATAAAAAAAACAGCTGATAAAAGACAAACACAATTTTAAAGTGTTTTTCTTTAAAAGCTCGACATATTTATAATTTTTTTCCTTAGTGTACTGCGCGATATTTTCCATTTCCTTTGACTTTGCACCTGAATTACTCTACTTTTGCTCTCCTTTTTTCTCCTTAATGATTGTTGGCCTTTTGAGTTTTTATTTCCTTTGGCTTCGTGGCCCACATCAATCCATTGGCATCTTCTTTCGGGCCAAATAACATTTTGTTACGGTTCAACGCTGTTTTGACCCCCTTTTCGTTTTTTTTCTATATTTTTTCCCTTTGTCACGCTTCTCTTGTGTGGAGCTACATAAATTGTTGGCTAATTGCAAGTGGCTCCTTTGGCCAAGAGAAAAAATCTAAGAAAAACTAGGGAGAAAATTGAAAGAATGAAGTGAAAGCAGGGTTCAGGGAAAACGAGTAAAAAAAGTGAAAGCAGAAAACGGCAACAAAGAGTCAAAATAGTAACAATGGCAGACTCCTGTTTTCGCCACACCCCTTCTTCGGCATTCAGCCACCCACCCATGTCACACACACACACACACACACACACACACACACACACACACACACACACTCACACTCACACCCGCCCACAAACATCCTTTACAGAAGTCTGCGCGTTGTTTGCTGCCTTTTGTCCGCGTAATTGGTGGAAAAGAAAAACTTGAAGGGCAAATCCAGGGGCGGGCGTTTTCCAAAGGGGAAGGGCACTGGGTCTGCAACGGAAAACTGCGGGGGAGGGGGAAAGGGGCTCCACCATCAGCAGTAAGTGAATGCCGGACCATTGCCATGGCAGCGCGATTCTTAGCATTATGAGTTTTCATTTTATTTAACAATTTTCAATGGAAACAGGACTCACACAAAAGTGAGGACTTACTCATATGAAAGGAGACTACATTTAAAAAGCCTCATTTTCATCTTTCTTAACGAAACATAATAATAAAAATTCAAAGTTAACATATTTTACTGAAAAATAGCATAGCTATTAATAGTACAAGTGCTCAAAAAAAAAAAAACATAGGACAACCTGTGTTTGAATTTATCTTAATTTTTAGTTACCAATTAACAACGATTCATTACTAAAAATCACTCACCCATATCCAGCTCCTTCGAGGAAATCTCTTGCCGGACGAAACTTGTGCAATATATACGTATATACATACATATATATTTATTTTTACCGCTTACACATGAACCATGTCCCACCGTGGCCAAAATTAACTTAATGTTATATTCTTGCAAGCCCAAGTAGCCTTTCGATGCGGTTATTTTAGGGAATATTTTAAGACCGTCAAAATACACTTAAAAACATGCATACATACATACTTTTGGGGATTCGCGGAGGATTTGGTTCATTTTCCTTCCTCAGCAATGTTTCTTTCCTCGCATTCTTTAAACTGCCATTTTAATATTACAATTACCACTAGCGACAATTCTGCTGCTTTCAAAATGACTTCGCTTGATGCGGCGTGACCGCTTTATAAATTTTTCACCCGACGCCGATCTCGCCATCCGTTTTCAGTTGATCCACAAGAGAAACTTATTTTGATATTTTGCTTTCGCCGTTTTTCTTATCTGTTTCTTTTCTTCAGTACGGTAAAACTTTTGAGAGAGATGTATGATTTCGTTAGGGCGAACTCTCTTATGCCTCCTCTTTCTCTTAAACCCAATCTAAATCTCAATATAGCCTATTTCTCTCGCTGCGCCTACTCACCCATAGGTGGCGCCATCAATATAGCTGCTGTTGAGTGTGACAAGCTCTACATCCCATAAGCTAATAAACTACCATTTACTTGAGAAATGTCGGTACGTTACAATGTTTTTTGCCATCAAAAAAGTAAAAGATTTGTTTTAATGAGTGTGTGTTTAAAATAGACTACAGACAGTATCAAAGAATAAGTATTAATAATAATATTTTAATAATAATAATAAGTTTAGTTTTTATAACAATTTTATTTTTGGGTGTAGCGTTGATTGCCATTTAAATAAGCTAGAAGAGAATTATTTTCGCGAGCGCAGCTGTGTATACAAAGTGTTCATGTTTAAATATCCTTAATCACATTAACTTCAGAAATTTCGATACGCAATCAAATATTTCGCCACCCCAATTAGTTTTTAAATTGTAATTGTGTAAGAATTTGCGTGCCTGAAATGTGAACCACTCAATTTGCATGTCCTTGCAGTGGTTGTGGCCAACCAGCAGATGCGCTCGACCACCAACCTGCTGATCATCAACCTGGCCGTCTCCGACATCCTGTTTGTCATCTTCTGCGTCCCGTTCACGGCCACCGATTACGTGCTGCCCGAGTGGCCGTTTGGCAATGTGTGGTGCAAGTTTGTCCAGTACATGATTGTGGTTACGTGCCACTGCAGGTGGGTGTCGAGTATCGGGTATCGGGTGTCGGTTGTCTGGGCATCTGTATACATTTATATATTTTAAACATATCCGGACTTGTTACTTGCAGTGTTTACACGCTGGTCCTGATGTCCTTTGATCGCTTCCTGGCCGTCGTTCATCCCGTGACGAGCATGTCCTTGCGAACCGAGCGCAATGCCACACTGTAAGTGCGCCCCATCTAAAGCAACTCCTTTCGATACACTCGCCGAAAAAAACTGGAGAAGTCTCTAGGGCTTTCTATACAATCAATTTAAACTTTCTTTTCTAATCATTTGTAGTGTGACACAATTTTCTTAACTATTAGTGTGTCCATTTCTTCAAATATTTCCAAATTGGAACTATTATATGAAAGAAGAACACTGAAACACAATTCAATTGAATCTAACTTATTATTGAGGTCAATACTAGAATGACACAATTTCCAAATAAAATATGTGTGTGACCAAATCTACAACCATTGCAAAATGTTAGGCAATGGCAAATATAAGTGTGACCAAGTCGAGCAATTAGCGAGCTAGGCTTTAAAAGAACTTTTGCAAGTTTTCTAATTAATTAAATCTTAATGAGGTTAATAAAATAAATGTGTGACCAAACTTATAACCATTCCAAGCTTTTAACATTCTATGACAAATATAAGTGTGACCAGGGTCATTATTATATTAAAATTCTTCCAAGAACAATGCAAGTTTTTTATATTTTCTCATAATTATTTTAAAATAAAAATCATTTTCATCTTTCCCATAACATTCTCATAATGCTAATTATAATTATTAATTTCAAGCACATCACTTTTTTCAGTGTGTAGCCCACCTGCTTCCCATATCGCACATCTCCTAGAGTAATTGCATCAATTTGTCCGGGCTTTGTAATTAGCAGGCTTTGCCTACCTGCGAGTCTTCTTCCCTCTGACCTCTGACCTTTTCTCTTCTGTCACCTGCCTTTGTCACATAAATATGTCCGAACATAGCGCTTTCAAGTTACACAACTGAGTCTTTAAAAGATGCGAAAACCTTTAAGGAAGCGGAAAATTTTAGCCAAAGAAAAAAAGTCGACAAGATATTTGCAAGAAATTAAAAATCTCAAAAGGCGTCCGAAAATCTTGTAATATTTTTTGTTTTCTTTAAAACAATTTCAAACTTTGTTGGCAGCTTTCTTGATTAAAAAACTTGCAACGTGTCTTAAGAAATTTGAGGTAGCAAAGGGAGAGTAGTGTTTTTAAAGTATTATTTGAGTAATATAACAAAGTACTAAAGGTTACAAAGGCAAAGGCAGTCATTTTAATACATTTAATTAAAAATCTAAATCTATATTAGCAAATAAGTGCATAAACTGCACTAATGTAATTTTCAGCTGGAAAAAAATGATATTATTTAAGGACACTTATGAACATAAGATTCATTATTTAATCGGCTTTTTTTTAAAGTCCGAAAGGTATCGAAACCCGTTTAAATCTTTCCGTTTTCATACTTTTTTTTGTTCGTTTCTCTTAGGGCCATCATGTGCGCCTGGATAACGATTGTGACGACTGCGATTCCGGTGGCACTTTCGCACTCGGTGAGAATTTATCAGTACCAAGGAAATGCCGGCACCGCTTGCGTCTTCTCCACTGAGGAGGAGGTCTGGAGTCTTGTCGGCTTTCAGGTTAGTTCCTCGTCCACAACACCCGAAAAAAAATATTTGTTTTTAACTTAACTTATTTTATAGGTAAGTGCTGGGCCACAGAAAAATCAATCGAATATATTACAAAGCTTTGCCAAATAACACAATATATAATATTAATGTATATATTGTTTTAAATATGGAATAATGGTCTAAGACATCTAATTTAATGATTATAACAACTTAAAATACTTATTTGAATTGATTGTGGAAGGTTTGATTGCATTTCTTAATTGGTGCAGTGGATTCAACATTTAATTTACATTTACTAAGGTTTTATTTTGTGTGTACAATCCACCCACTTTGTTATGCGAAAAGCCAGAGCGAAATGGCGGGAAATCGCCTATTGTTGAAATCAAGTCATATTTTCCAGTGCTTGGCCGCCGGGACTGCAATATATTTCCTTCTTAAGGACACTCCCTTACTTCGCTTCACATCCACTTGCGTTCCTTTTATTCCGAAACGCGAGGACAACTTGTCAAGATGTGTAACATATCAGCGTAACCCAAGAACGAGGCCGTATACTATGCATTTATTAGTTTCAAGACAGTGGGTCCATTAACAAAAAATCATAATTTTAAATAAAGTTAATTTAAATTAAATAAAAATGAGGTTGAAAAAAAAACTTATAATAAAAAAGAATATTTTAATCAAAGAAATAATTCTGCCAAAGCAATAAAATACATTTTTAAATACCAATTGTCTTAAAATTGCTGGACTAATGATTTAATACAAATATATTTTTTTAAATCATTTTTCCGCAAAAAGGAAACCTAAATTGAAATTCCTTCACGAAAGCAGCACGCAGATATGAAAAATTATTCTCTAAAAATAGAGTAGCCCGAAAATGTGAATTTTCCCCTCACACATTTCCATCGTTTTCCGGCAGCCCAGGGGTCTTAGTCACCATATATGGTGAGCTCTTATTAGCGCTTTTCCAGCTCTCAATCAACAATGAACACAAATCCTTTGACTAGATTAAACCACACTGGCCCTCCACACACACAATGCATTTGCGTTGAGCCCTGAAAGGAAGACGAATCCTTTCCGCAAATTGCCAAATGGCAAACTGCAGAGTGCGTCCAGTGCTGAATTTTCGCAATTATTCGTCAGTTTTTGGGGGAATGCGATTGCGATTGCGATTGGAGGAAAAGCTGACACAATTCCATCATCATTATGGGTCCACTTTTTCCCCTCATAGAGATCTATGCGTTACCCCAAATCGCTTTTCCGTGCGCTTGACTTACCCATATTTTTCGCCCCGACTTTGTTATGTTTATTACTTGAACTTTTGCACATTAATCAATTCGGGGACTGCGAGAGCAAGAGTCTTCGAGTGTAATTTCATGCCGGAAGGATGTTACACCGGAAAAGCCACAGTTGTTTTGGCCCCGAAGGGCGACGCATCAGAGGGGTGGAATGAGTGAGCTTTGTCGTCTATTTCCATTCGCAGAACAAATGAATGACGCCCCGTATAACTACACAAAGAAAAGAGTAGAAGAATAGTTGTGGTAGTACGAAAATAGTATTAAATACAAACATTATAAAAACCCAAAAATATATATATATACAAATATATATAAATAAATACAATTAAATAATACAAAATAGCTTAGTAATGTTTAAGTTAAAGTTTTAAAACTTAGAGCACAAATACTGCACCGGTGCGAGTTTATGAAATATATTTTTAAGCTTTTATCATACAAAATATATTTTAAATAAAATGCATTGTCAATTTATTTAAATTTATTTATTTGAAAAAATAATTTATTTAATAAATGTATGAGCTATAAGGGAAATTGGCTCAAAGGTTATTTTTTTTCACAAAATTATTTGAATATACATTGTTTTTCAAAATATAAACATACTTAAAATAAAAGTTAAAACATGATAATGTTATTATTAACATATTTTGGTTTTATTCATTTCATTTAATTTTTTTCTAATTTAACACTAAGTTTTTCCATACTTAAAAATAAAAATAAAAGTGTAACACACTTTGAAAGTTCCTAAAATATTTAATTCAAAGTGAAAATATTTGGATTAACCATGATTTTTCTCTGGGTGTAGCGTTTGACTGAGTGTGGACAGGTGACTTAGTGACAGACTGACTGGCTGACTGACTGACTCGCAAAGCTATTCGGTGTCTTCAGCTAATATGCACCCGTGAAGCTTCCCCGCCTCTTCACCGAATTTTCCCGGCTCACCTTTCCACTTCACTTCACTTCACTTCACTTCTCTCCAAAGTCCAAAGCCACCTGGCACCAGGCAAATTGCACAGTTCGCTTCGCTCCGGGTTTTCCATTTTCCGACACTGACACGGTTAAGGATACCGATACCGAACACGAATACGAATACGAACTGGAATACGGGGACACGGCTACGGATACGGCATGTCCTTTGTCCTTGTGTCCGGGTCGCACCACGCCCCCTGTGCACCCAACTCCCCCAAGTCGTCGACTGTGCACATAAATCGCAATTGCTTTGGAAAACACGAAGAGGAAACCGCAACTTGGCTACTGAGTACAAAGTGTGAATGCTCTTTAAAGGATTTCCTCGCAGACAATCAAAACTTTTGCAATTAAAGAGGTTTTATCAGGGATTTCAAAGGTTTTATGAAATACGGCTAAAGAACTGTAGGATTTATAAATCATTTGCCCCGTTTTAAAAAGTTTATTCCAAAAGTTTATTATTTACAATATGATTAATACAAATATGATGAACTTTACTGGATTTACTCACCACTTGAACCTTTTTTAAAACAATTTATCTATGCCACAAGTTTATTCTAAGTGTATATTATTTACAATTATTATTATTTTACTAATTGTTTTTACCTTTTGCATTTGAAAGAGCATCAAGCATACCATTTGATAGAGGAATCACATTTTAGTTCGAATTTGATTTTCCGCTCCTGAAAATAGTCATTGTCAGGGTCAATATATATATATATATGTATATATATCGTGCGTTAGTTTGAGCCTGCCGTGGCAATAAAATAAAAATGGATCAAACTTGTGCGGGGCATCCGTCAAAGCAAAACGAACAGCGAAACTAACGACCGAATCGTTGTCATCGTAAAGAACTCATAAAACTGAAACAAATAGACTGGAAAGGGACGCTAAAATAGTGTTTATCATTCGATACTCCCCGCCCAAAAAACGACGCTCAAGTTGTTCTCAACGCTTATTAAAGTTGACTCCTATTGTTTTTGCTACAACAAATCAAGGAGTCCTAAGTTCTATTTGTCCTTAAAGTTTAAGGATGAGACTTGAACTTTACTAGACTATTCCAGCTAAATTTTCTGTCAGTGGGTTTTAATGTTTTCAATTCAACAAAGATTTTAAAACATTTTGAACAGATGGTTAATTTTTCAACATGATAAAACAACGTAGAAATTCTGTTGACTTCTACGATTATTATTGCACGTTATTAAAGCTTTTATTAAAAGTGCCAGCCATATTATATACCCAATTTCGCAGCCAATTCATAATTTCAATCATCTTTTTTATGGTATATAGTACATACTTGTATGTCCTGGGGAAATTTACATGGTGAGGGGGGGTGGGGGAAGAAGACTCATCAGAGCCTGTGGCAAGTTGATTAATTTCGCTGAGTGTCAAGTTGCGTTTATGGACAAATCCCAGGCGCAATTTTTGGGTCATGCCGAATATTAAGTATACGCCCCCTCGACCATTTATCAAACAGCACACACTTCAGTTTATGGCTTTTTATTAGGACCCGCATAAAGTTTAAAGGCCGGCAGAAAAAAAAAGCGAAAAACACAAAAAGTTTGCTTCTCAAGTTTGGCAACTTTATTTATGGCGATTGTGCTGTAAAATTTCATGGTGGATATCCATCGATTCGGGTTCCTAGCTTTATTTTGCATCTTTCTATTTCCTAAGTGGAAGTTTTATAACCACCATGGCAAAGTTTATAGTTCCTCAGATCTCTAGATATATTATACGCACTTGTCTCGGCCCATTGACAACGCAAAATGACTGGATCATCCATTTCGAAAATGCAATCGGGCACCAAAAAGCCCATTTGGAAATGTTTGCTAATCATTTACCAAGCAAAATGACTTTCAGTTTTGTTTCGTTTTGTTCCGTTCCGTTTCGTTTTTTTTTTTTATTTTTGTTTTAGTTCTGAGCGGCAATTTGGCCAAAAAAGCAGCTGGGACCGCTTTTGGCGCCAGTTTTTGCTGATAACTATTTAATTTTTAAAGCGGCTGAGAAAAGTCGAAAAGTTGTGCAAGTCAAAGTTTATTCAATTTCTTTGGAAAGAAAGTTTTATCTTGAATTAACCGGAGTTGCAAAATTTCAAGTTATCTGAATGCTTGTTAAAATTCATATTTTATCTTTCCAATCCTTTTTTTCCCCAATCTTTCAGCACAAAAATCAAAAATTCGTCCATAAACTAGAATAAAATAAAACAATATTTTTAAAGCGGCTGAGAAAAGTAGAAAAGTTGTGCAAGTGAAAGTTAATTCGTTTTCTTGTAAAGAAACTTTTGTCTTGAATTTAACAGAGTTTCAAAATTGTAAGTTATCTGAATGTTCATATTTTATTTTCCTCAATCCCTTTTTTCGCAGCTAAAAATCCTTTGATAAACTGGTATAAAAATAAAAAGGCCAAATAGTTTTCGATACTCCACTTGAGTAACTGTAGCAATCTGATTGTGTCACTTGCCAGTCAGACAATAAATAAAGGTCGGAGAAATGAAGCAAATTATATTCACAATAAATCCCTTTGTCTTGCGAATGTGTCATAAATTGCAGCATTCGGCAGAGATATCGTTAACATCATTGCCGCGTATTACAAACAATTTCCTTTGCAATCAACACTTTAATTAATGCATCAGTAATCCGCCTTCATCTCAGCAAAAATAAAAACAAGGGAATATGCAAGAAATTAAGAATGGGATACGATTCAATCATACTCCTTTTTCTCAGGTATAATAACTCAAAGAGTATGTAATGATTCCAAATTGCTTTTAATAATTTGAATAATTATGTATTTTCAAAAATTTTTATTAATAATCAATTTTAAAAAGTATTTGTTTATGAACATTAATTTTATGTTTTATTATATTTTATTGACTCACTTTCAGTATTTTATTAACAATACAATAAATTATTTTAATTGTTTCTTACTTTATTAAGATTTTCTTATTTTGTGAATAACCTTTGAAAAAACTCCACTTTTAAATTTTTTAGTTCGCTTTTGGGAAAAATGTATCTCAAATATTTCAAAAATAATTAGATAGTTATCTTTATAATAAGGTAAAAATACCTTATAAATATAAATGAGAGTATGCTGTAAAAATAATTTGGAACAGCTAAGAAATAAATCGAATTATATATAAAGGTAATAAAATATACATAAATTTGATTAAGTATTATTTTAAAATATACTTAATCAAATTTATTTACTACATTCATGTTTACTAAATCCAATATACCTCTGTAAAATCTGGTGAGTGCTGGAGCAGATATCCGGGCATCATTAGCCGGATACCGGGGATACCGGGGATACGGATCCGGATCCGGAGAAGTGTCAGCGCGGATTATGTCACTCGTCCTCGCCACGATGTCCTTGTTTGTGTTGCCGTTGTCGTTGTCGATAACAAACGACATGTTCATTGGCCATGGCCATGGGTAAATCTCAACAAAGTGATTTCGATTCCATAGCTGTCAGGCATTCGCCAATCGCCCCCCGGAATATGAATGTGGGGGCGTGGCAACGATTATTAACAATTGAGGCAAATGCGCGATTTCATCGATGCACAAGACAAAAAGTGTACTGAAGCAATACAGAGATTTAAAAACAATTATAAAGTTGGATAAAATGGATCAACAAATAAATATTTGAAAAAATATATTATTTGAAAAATCGGATAAAAAAAAAAATTTTTATATTTTTCACACATTATCTTTTAAGATAACTGAAACCCCCAAATATATTAATTATATGATCAGCAATTTTGTATTTTGTATTCAAGTCAAAACTTTATTTTTCTAAAAGATTTTTTTTTATAAATAAATACATTTTTTTAGGAACATTTTATCATAGCTATCCATAAATAAATTTTCTACTTTTGTAAGACTTTTCTCTCTGTGTATTCCACGCACCTGCTTTATTTTTCCGTTTCATTGCCTTTATTCCGAGGTTCACAATTGATATATGTACATATATTTTGACTTGCACCTTTGTGCATATTTGGCTGCCTCTCATTGCCTGTTTTCCGCATTTTCCGGCAAGAGGAAAGCCCCTTAATCATTTACACTCGGATGCCGCCTGCCGGCTGCCTTCTGCCACCCACAAAGAAATACCGAATCCACTCAAATGAGTTTTAAGCCGGCAGCTCATTGGATATCACAAAAATAAAAATAAATGAAAGCAAGGCCCCAGAAAAACCGAATTCAGCCCTCTGAATACTTTAAATATAAATTGCTGGCGGCTCTTGAAAGTTAACAAAAAGCCCACGCCTAGCTCAACAATTCACCAAGTTCGTAAAAGGGCAGAAATTAAATTGATTTCCACCGCACTAGTTTCCAAAGTGTTTCAGAAAGAGGTGTTTAACTAGTTTGACCTTTGATAGGGAATATTTTCCTATTAACATTTAAATTTTATTAAATAAACAAAGTAAATTCAAAAATGTATTTAGAGCAACAACAGATTTAAACCTACTTTTTATTTATTTATATACTTGATTCTCTTAATAAATACAATTTTTTTCAATTAATGAAGTTTCCTATTATCATTTTAATTTTATTAAATGACAAAATTAGTATCGAAAATGTATTTTACGCAATAAAAACTTCATTCCCTTGATTCCCTCAATTAATAAAAATTTCTTACCAGTCAAGTATTCCACTTAGCTCCCAATTTATGGCCAAATAAACCGATTTCATTATCTATTGGCCTAAACAGATTCATTATCCTCTTAAAAGGGGCTTCCCAAAGATTCATTATTTCGGTTTATGGACAATTTCGAGCCGATTCATTGCCATGGAATTTCCACCGAATAATTCACGGATATTCAACCGAAAACCAGCACAACTACGAGAATTTTCCGCCAGTTTTTCCCTACACACGCGAATTTCATGGATATATATGCATACATATTTTTGTCTGTTTGGAATACGGCTAAGCGGCTGCTGGCGAATGGAAATGGGTGGGTTTTCCGGTAGTTTTCCGAGGGTTTTTGGGGGCTGGCAAGTGTCTGGTACTCATATCTGGTATCTGGTCAGCATTACGGGTCAGCGCTTCTGACAATTTCCATGCAAAAACAAAAGCCGCTGACATGGCAGCAGATGGCAGAGGACAAGGAAAAACCTTCCTTCGACCAAAAGCAGACGCAAAAAGTTAAGAAGCTGCCCCGGAAAAATATCAAAAATAAATAAATACCATTGAAAAGCAACTGCTAAAGATACAATAAGCAATTATTATTGTTAAAACTTTTAATGAAGTGCAATAACAATTATTAGACATTTATACTAACACATTCATAGACACACATTTTTAGTTTAGGCCAAAATGAATTTTCGTTTTGGCTTACACGAAAATATATTCCCAAAAATATGGTTCCTTAAATTCCAGAGCTTGGTAAACTAAACATTTTACAAGTATTTACACAAATGTTGGCAAACGAGTTCAAGCTTTAATTTAAAACTGATTCAATAAGAAAAACAATTTAGCGATACTTCTTTTTCTCAGATATAATTATACAAAAATAATAATTAATATAATAATAATATAAAATTCAGTGAACAAATCGCTTTCACATATTTTATATATAATATAAGTTAATTTAAGTTAATCATCTTTAAAACTGATTCATTTTTTGAACATAAATTGGTTGATTTTTTCGAATATTTACACAAATGTGGGCTTGGGTTTAAAGCTTAAGCTTTACTTTTAAACAGTTTTCCAAGCCAAACGAAATGCATGGGATCCTAAACCCAACTCAGCAGTTATTCATTTATTTTTCCCAATTTTGTAACCTTTTTTCAGGTCTCATTCTTTTTATCATCCTATGTGGCTCCGTTGACGCTGATTTGCTTCCTTTACATGGGAATGCTGGCTCGTCTGTGGAAAAGTGCTCCCGGCTGCAAGCCTTCCGCAGAGTCACGGTGAGTATATACTAATATACTATATAGTCCTCTTTAAAGCAAAATCCCCACCAGTCCTAACACACAAATATCGCGTATACGCCGTGGGTGAGGGAATTTTCCAGGCTACCTTTTTTTTATTTTTGTTTTATTTTTTTGTAGCTAGAAGCTACGCACCTGCTGCCATGATGAATGCCTTTTTATTAGGCTGCGAGGAAAGCTCATGAGCTTTGGCTCATGCATTTTTAAGTGGCCGGGTCAACGAAACCGAAACATAAGTACAAATGTGAGCGATATTCCCTTGATATTCACCCGCAGGATTTACGGAAGAAATGAGGGTTACAAGGTTCTGTTTAAGCATTTGTTGTCAAACTTGGTGACATTATTTGAGGAAAACATAGCTTAACTAGCATAACTTATTAAACAAATATTCATTGAACTTTATATTATCATAAATTGTTAACTAAACATTAACAGAACTTGTCGAGAAATAAATACCTAAATGAAATAAGCCATACAAAATAATCATAAAAAAATAATAGTCTCACTAAAAACATTTTGAACAAAGAAATTGACTTTGGATTTTACAAAAAAATATTAAATGTATAATTTGACACTGGTAAAAAAAAATTAGTAAATCTCATTATTTGTTTCTTTGATTTTCTTTTATTGCAGTTTTTAATTATTTTAAATATGTTAATATTAAAAAATTTTAAACTTTTGTATCTGAATATTAAATTTAAATTTAAATTAAATAAAATACATTTAAATCGAATGGGAACTAATTTAAATCTTTTATTATTCAAATTAATTGAAATATTTTAATATTAAAATGCATTGTATTGAATACTATGATTTTATAATTAGTTTAAAGATTATATTCAGATACTTATTTTTACTATTCAATTTTGTTATCAGTATACCAATGCAAGTAACTTAAATAATGCTTTAGGGCTAAAGTGAAAAAGTAAAGTTACCCAAGTAACTCAGTCGTGATCGGGGTCACTAGCCATCAATTTCAAGTAGAACTTGCTGCTACTTTAAAACTTGGTAAATACTTTGGCAAACTTTGGTTTTATCACAAATCGAATACTATTAAATTGTACTCACATCCAGTTGAAGAAAACTTGTGAGATGAAATCAATAAAGTGTTAAAGAAAATAAAAAGCAGTATTGGGCAAGAAATGCAACGCTGGTTGTCAAGTAAATAAATTAAATAGTTAAAAAAATAAAAATATCCCACAATCTTTTTGTATATATGTCCACATGTTTTAGGCTGCGTTTTAAATTTGAATGCAAATGAAGTTGCACGAGTTCGCATTTCGCACGCAAAGTTCATAAATCATCGAGCATCGGGCAATGCAAAATTCACAAGCTGAGCTGCGACATAATACATAATACATATGCATATCTTTATTACATACAGCAGCGGTCAAAAAAGTAGTAGTTTGTATTAAAAAGTGCGCAGGCAACTTTTGAAAATGTTGTGTATTTTCGTGAGGCTAAAACTCTAAACTAAATGCAGAAAAATAAAAAAAAATTGTAGAAATGATTGATAACAAAATCCTTTTTAATTTTAAATCAAAAAAAAAGAAAGTGCAATATTGTTGTTTTCTTAAATTGTTATAAGATCATTTACTATAGTATATTGAAAAGTAAATCTAAAGCAACTATTTTTTTAACATAATTTTTTTATGGGCATGTAATGGGTATGGGTATGCATGTTATGATTAACTACTTGTTTGACCACAGCTGTTTATGGAATATATTGCCGACTAACTCACCAATTTTCCGTTCTTGTTTTTGTGTGTTTTGCAGGAAGGGAAAGCGACGCGTCACCCGAATGGTTGTTGTTGTCGTTTTGGCATTTGCAATTTGCTGGCTGCCCATTCATGTAAGAAAACCACCCACCACATAATTAAAAATTACAAACAAAAATAAAAAGTGCAACGGATATATGCCAATCGAATAAGTCATGTTCAATTCGCTATTTTTAGTAGAATTCGGCAATTGATTGACAGGCAACCAGGAATCACTCTTACGTATTTATTTTGGTTTAATAATGATTGGCATTGAACATTGAGAATCAAAAATTGGTGTTAAAAGCGAAAATTGCAGAGGCCTTTGATTTGATGTTCAAGGGTCAGTTTGAATAATGATTTATGAGAAAGTTTATATTATTTTATTATATTATATCTTCATATAAATCAAACCACAATCGATTTGCTTAAAGTTAAACTTACGATTGGAGTAGCTTATATTGGCAACGCCAACAGCTGCTGGCAAATTTTGTTGGCAAACACAGAGGATAGTTGCGATAAAATTGACATTTCCGATATTCTGGCCCCGTTCTTCGAACCCCGCACCATCCCTGAATTATTTGCTGAAATGTTTAATAAGGCTGCAGCTGCTGCTCCTTGAGCTGCCTGCACTCCAAGTATTTGCACAAATTCAATGCGCTCACAAATTACAAACGAAATTAGAATTACACAGACACTCGAAGTGCAAGATGTGCGAATTGCATATATCAGTGATAGCCATATGGCAATAATGTCTGAAATGCCATATTACATACGTTAATATGCAAAAGGGGCTTATAAGTATAGAGCCGGTGCATAAAAAGATTACAAGAATTCTTAATCTAAACTTGAAATTTAAGAATACATTTTACTACGATGTTTTTGAGCTTTTTACGTTATTCCCCTTATGTTATTTTTATTGGATTTTTTTCGGAATTGATTTTAATATTTAAAAATCAAATTTATATTTAATTATATCAAATTAAACAAACTGCATTTAAATCAAATAGGAACTATGTTAAATCTAATTTTTAAACATTACTTAAAATAATTTAATATTAAATCAAGCAATACAATTTGGAGTTTAAAAGTCGGATACTTATTTTAACTATTCCAATTTTTTATCAGTGTATACTAAATTTTCCACACCAAAATTCTTTTTGCAGGTCATCCTTGTGCTGAAGGCGCTGAATCTTTACGGCGGCAGTCACTCATCGGTCATCATCCAGATTATTTCCCATGTGGTGGCCTACACAAACTCCTGCATCAATCCCATACTCTATGCCTTCCTGTCCGACAACTTTCGCAAGGCATTCCGCAAGGTGAGCATAATAATAACAATAATAATAATAGTGCAATAGTTATATAATAATGTTATAACCATACTCTTGCAGGTGGTTTGGTGTGGCAGCCCACCGCCGCTGATGACCAATCAACAGGTGACCAAGACCACGCGAACTGCAACCGGCAACGGAACGTCCAATATTGAAATGCTATAAGCGGGTAGGTTTATGGATTACACTCAGAGAAAAAAATAAAATTATATTTATAAAAAATCACTATAAGAATTTTTATTGTTTCATAATTTCCATATCTAGAATTTATAGAATATAATTAATCTTATAATTAATTATTTCAAATTCAATTTACAAAGCATTTTCAATCCAATTAACTAATCCAACTTAACTAATTTCTCTTTGCAGTTCTTGAGCATGAGTTCGTCACATCATTTTTGAAGGCGATTTTTAAACTCGAAACAGAAAATGTGAATTTAAAGCTAACAAATAATACAAAGATATAAAGTTAAAATAAAAACGCGGCGCATATAAGTTAACTATAAACATATACTATCCAAATATATGTCTATAAGGAGAATACAATTTTCCGAATTATGAAATGTGATTGTTTTTTAAAATTTCAAGATGCACTATGTCTTTAATTTTTGTTTGCTTGATTTCATTGATTTTTTTTTTTAAATTATAGACGCCGTGTTAATTATGTTGAAGACCTAGAAAATAAAACAAAAAAATTAATAGATTTAGGAAATTAACTTAAAATTTAATTTTATAAAAAAGAAAGCTTACAATCCAATTGTTCGAAATCAAATTTTGCATCTAAAATATGGAAAAGATGGGCAAGCAAAACAATTTAAAACAGATATGCTGTAAATTCCATTTGACAGAAATTGATGAGAAATGAAGGTAAAAACTAATTAATAAAAATAAAGGGCAGAGGAATTCGTGTAACAATGTGTAGATTTCTGTGTAATTTGCATGTGTGTCATTCAATTGTACGGCGCGCTTAACAGCAGAAATGAATATAATTAACAAATAAAAAACCAACAGCAAAGGTGTAATAAAAGTACATGACCAGATTGAACAAAACGGATTTGCAGTTGGAATGTTTTAATTAAATTGAAATATTTTTTAAAGCTTATAATTTTCAGCATTCCTCTGTTAAAATATAAGTGAAATTTGTATAACAATTAAGACAAAAATATATATTAACAGAGCTAAAACTCTGGATGCAGGTACGTTTAGTAATGCATTATCGATTTAAGTGCTAAATAAGATTCAGATACTAGCAAAGCTCAATTAATTATGAATGGCACTTACACGTTTAAGCCCCTATAATCTCGTCATCCCTTTTCTTTATGCAAATTCATTCAATAAGCCAAGGGATTTAATTAGTCAATAAAGCGTGTAAAACAAAACGCAGACGCATAGAACGTTTTCAATCCTTTGAATTGAATAAACATTAGCCATAAGTCACCCAAAAGCCCCTCCATGCTCTATTTAACTTAATAAATTCATAAATTAGCCAGTTGTTTGCCATGCGAAATGTTTTAGTTATGTCATAAGTTAATCATGTAAATTAAAAACTAAATATACATTACAATATTTATAAACATTTGACTATTAGATAAGGCAAATCGTTTAAATATTTATATTTTTTCGTTGACACTTTGTTTGCATGGCTTCGGCCTTGCCGAATTAAGGTGTAACCAAAAAAAAAGTGCATAGATAAATTATACTAGATGGCATTAACAATATACGAATATGGGAGTAAGTGATTCTAGGCAAAATCGTTTTTTTTTGTGCAATATGATGCAATTGATAAAAAATTTTGATAGGTTTGGCCAAAAAAACTAAACAACTCCGTTAACAAAGTTACAAAATGAATGGTAACCAAAACATTAATGGTAAATTAATGCTTAGAAATAACTATACGATGTTTTTTAAGAAAATTGAAAATAAAATTCGGAATGTCTATAAATTTGTCACACTTTCCAAGAACACATGCTCCCTTCTCAGAACACTTTTGTATTATGTAGTGTATTTAAGCTAAATAAACTATTGTATCTATATATCAACTGAATATATATATAGTAACATAAATGCCTATTTATGTATTTATATTTATATTTGTATTTGTAAATGTATTCTACTGCATTCCTAGCACAGTTGTGGAATTGAACAATATTTGAATTTAGAAAAGGAAACAACCGAAAAAAGAAAGTCAAAATTGAACAGAGGAAAAAGTTTAAATATTCTAGAACTTAAGCTAAAAACTAAACAAGTATTTTTTTTTGTGTGCCCTGTAGGGTATTTGCTAGCCGCCTAGTCTCACAAAAAATTGAAACAAAACTAGCGAATAAAAATGGCATTATAAAATGTACTCATAAATTTTGTATTTTCAGTTATGCAGCAAAATAGTTAAAATAGCGTAAGTTGAAAACCAGAACTCATTGTATTTGTATATGAATGTATATGTACAATAAAATTTGTTCATTGTGTTAAATAAAATTGATGAATCTGTGTACACAATATTAATGCAATTGTTTATTAGTAGGGAAGGGATTTTGTAAATACATTTAATTGTTTTTCAATTCCAAATTATATATTAAGGTTAATTAAATGAAGTCCTGCTTACAATGGTTTTAATTGCTCTGCATTTATTTGACACACTATTGTTTGTTCACAAAAAATAAATGAGAAAAGTGAAAAAATGCGTCAATGTTTAAATGGATACAGAGACTTTACTTTTATTTAAATTTATATTATTTGTAAATTCGCACTTGAAAAAAATATAGTACTCTCAGTTATTTAAGTTTGGCTGAATAAAAACTGTTTGAACACTTACAGAAAATGACAGAAAAATAGGCTCCTCAAAGGCAACCAGCCACCGGCAATGTCATCCAAGAACTGAACTCAAAAAACAAGCAAACGAAAAAGGACTTGGACTTGGAACCAGAGGAACATTGCGGCCAGAAAAGGTGCATCATAAATTCGCACCGAACGTGTAAACAGTGACATTATTTAGCTAAACCTACGTCTGCGTGTGGGCAGTGTTCACAGTGGGTTAAAATGGATTAACATAGTACACAAAATTCCAAAGAGGAAAAATTAAATATTACAACATTTTTTTAAAAAAATTATTTAAAATAATACACCCATAATAAATACGTGTTTTTATATTTTCTAGATTTATAACAATTTAAAAATTAAATACAGAAAAAAAATTAGGTAAATATGATATATTAAATAAAATTATACAATAAAAACTAATTTTCTAGATTTATATATAACATATATTTAAATAAATGCTTTCCAATTATTACCCATTCTCTTTCTTACATATAAATGATTAGTTTCTGATATTTTCAAAAGTAAACTAATATTGCTTATGAATTTCGTAATGCAAACAACCTCAAACATAAATCCAACCAACACATAATTTAGACTATTAAAACTAAAAAACAATCAAAAATATTCTTAGTACTACGAGACTAGAATCGAAAACCACGGTAACTATAAATGCATTTCCAGTATTTTTAACACGTAGCCCACTGTTTATCCAACATGGGCCGCATTGAAATTCGTGCAAATATTGGAAAATTTATGTGAACTCCGAAATAAAAACATGCGCCCGGCGTTCGCAATGTTTTTACGAGGCAAACAGCGTAACTTGCCGGATTTTATGATGTTTTGTTAACCAGGCAACAGGTTGCCGTGGGTTGATGTGGGCCGAACGGAAAAGTCGCAGGTGAAAGTGGGTCCAATTGGGACCCGCAGATAAACAAGGCAATAATGCGGACAACGGGCCGCATACGCAATTGCTGCCGTTGTTCTTCATTAGATTGGATTGGAAGAGGACGAGGACGAGAACGAGGATGAGCAGGCTGACCAGGCTGACCAGACCAACCAAAAGGACCATGACACCGGCCCTCATTACTTCAAATAGAGCGCTGGCCAACCGATTTAATTATGCCGCCCGATTCGACGCCCGACAGTTGGCCGCCAATCCGGACGGACGGACACGGAGCCCGGCTCCGGTTATATTTCAAAACCGGACAACATACCGGCCGAGCGTTCAGTCGCCACGCGTCCGCCGTGTGAGCCACACCAGCATCCAGAATCCAGTAGCCAGGATCCTGAGCCTCCAGCATTGCGAACTAGTATGATGTCCAGGCTGATGTTACCCAACTCGGGCAGCTGGACTGCACTGTGCGGCGCTGTCCTCCTGTTTGTCCTGCCGCTGATCCCCACGCCGGAGGCACTGCAGCACACGGAGGAGGGCCTCGAGATGCTTTTCCGCGAGCGGTGAGTTGAGATACGATTAATTCAAGGCCTCTCTGGTTTAAATAGCTTGCATAGGAGTCGAGTTACTTAAGGTTGTTTCATACTAGGGGAAATTTTCAAGTGATGATAATGATATAAAATTTTGGGGTTCGATGTATTATAACGGAATACAGATAAGCAAAACAAAAACTATTGTTAAATAAGTTTAGATCCCATTAATTCAAGACCTCTCTGGCCAAAATAGCTAATGATAAAACAACAAGGTGTTCTATGTATTCTAACGGATTACTGATTTTTTAGCTCCCATTCGGACTGGGAGAACGTGTGGCACCAGGAGACGCACTCCCGCTGCCGGGACAAGCTCGTCCGTCAGCTTTATTGGGCCTGCGAGAAGGATATTTACCGCCTGACACGGCGCAACAAAAAGAGGACAGGCAATGATGAGGCCTGGATCAAGAAGAGCTCTACGGACCGTAAGTGCAGATATTGTGGGAAATAGCACAGAAATTACTAAATACTTTAAATCATTTTAAAAGGGGTCCCCAAAAGTATGCAGTGAAAAATGTTACAAAATAAATCCAATGTACTGCCATATTTAAATTAATATGTTGCATACTTTTACACGCCTTTTTTTACTAGTTTTAACACCCTGGTGATTTCTGTGGCACCTTCAACTATTTTTTTTTTGGTTGTATATATCATAAATAATCTCTGATTCCTTACCAGCTGATGGCTCCACCTGGCTGCATGTGAACTATGCCAATATGTTCCTGAGGAGTCGCCGCGCGGATGGACATGCCCCATCCATCTCGAATGAATGCTGCACCAAGGCGGGTTGCACTTGGGAGGAGTATGCCGAGTACTGTCCTTCCAACAAACGACGCAATCACTACTGATTTACGAATCGAATTCGTCAGCAAAGTTGGTTCCGCTTAGACATATAAATCCTAATATACTCGCTTTTTTTTCGTGGTTGTTGTTGATGTTCTTGTTGTGGTGAAATAAAGTCGTATTGAAAGTAAACTTGTTTTGGTTTCACAAAAAAAAAATAGCTTTAATGAGTTTAACTTCGTCATTTACACTTCATATACTTTTAATTTTGATGGGTCATAACTGATTAGTCTAGTAAATTCCAGGAATTGAAAGTAAAATTGTTTTGATAAAAAAAAAAAAAACTATATAGAATATGATATATTGAAAGTAAACTTGTTTTGGTTTCTCAAAAAAAATAGCTTTAATGAGTTTAACTTCGTCTCGTACACCTCATGCACTTTTTATTTTGATAGGTCATAGTGAAAAAAAAAAGAACAACTTATAAACATAAACATATTTAGTTTATAGAGAGAGAATTAGCAAACACTTATCATTTTGATCTTAGTCTAGCAAAATTCCAAGAATTTGGTAACATTTGGGTTAGAACTTCGTTTTTCTTGGGGTAGGACTCTTCTTAGGGTACTACAAATGCTCTAGGGCTATATATGTATATCACTTAGTCAACAAAATCCTCCTTGTCCTGCACATCGTTGTTCTCCTTGCGACTCTTTGCTTGGCCCTCAGCATTGGCCGCCTTTAGTGGCCTCTTCGAAGCCTGTCCTTTCTCGTAGTGGGTGTCCAGCATCTCGAGCAGGGTCAACTGGCGACTAGTAGAACTATTGCTCTTGGCCGGTGTGCTGCTGCTGCTGTTGCTGGCTTCCTGGCTGTTTTTTGCCTCCAAACTGGCGGCCTCCATCATGGCATTGGCCTCCTCATCATCGGAGACCATGAGAATACCCTGTTCTGGCGAGGAATCGGAATCATCTTGCGACGATTGGGGGGGAAAGAGATCGGGACTTTGTTGGGTCGTCTTTTTGTTGACTTCTGGCGAGGTTTTCGCCGCTGTTACTGAGGCCTTTGATTCCGATTTTGCCTCTGCTGATCCGGATGTTCCTGGTGTTCCAGCTTCCACAGGCGGCGCCTTCTTCAATTCCTCCTTTATAAATTCGTAAAGATTCTTTTTGGTTGCCATCTGCCCACGCGGCTCCTTGTCGGAGCCCTGCTCCTTCACGAGCTGACTGTAGGACCTTAAAATACTCCAAAGCTGCTGCACAGTAGTCGCCTCACTTTGAAACAGCAGCCACATACCATGGAAATCATCTCTGAGGTCGGTGTCGCCAAAGGTATAGTAGGCCAAAGGTCTGCCCAGTTGGGCGCAGACCATGAGTTGCAGCAGGGCTTTCAAGTAGGAATCTCCGCCGAAGGCGCCACAACCCCAATTGCCGGTGGCCACGCCTGGCGGTGGCATGTCCATCCAGTGGACAAAACCGATGAATGCCTTGTTCAGCTCCCTTTCCATTAGATCCTCGCGATACTGATGCTGTGACTGGGCAAAATGCAACGCATCTATGGCCACAATGGCCGTTTTCCGGCGATGAGAGCTATCCCGCGGCGTGGCATCCTCGCAGTTGCCCGACCAGGTGAAGCTGCCGGCATAGCCCGTATAGTTGCTATACCGCTCGGCGCCCAGCATCACGAGGGCCTCGAAGGGTCGCAGACTCTCCGTGAAGAGTTTGCTCACCAAGAGCTCCGGGCAGATCACAAAGCGTATCTCCTCCTGCACGCAACCATGTCCGAGGACACCGCCACCCAGGTACTTGTTGGCAAAGTCCACTTGCAGCAGGCCAATGCCCTCGTCCTCGATCGTGCCCTCGGCATCCACATGCAATGGCACATCGCCCAGGGGCGCCGCACTCTGGCTCCAGTCGATTTGGTGCTCGGGCATGCCGCTGCGGCGCACAAAGGTCACCACACCGGTGGGCACATTGCTGGCATCCCGCTCGGTGGGACACACTCGCCGGAAATAGTGCATGATGCACTTGAGCTTCTCCAGCACAGCCTGACCACTCGATTGATAGAGCCTAGAAGTGGATTTAAGCACGCTATTGATTGTGTATTGGCCGATTTACTTGATTGCTCACCTGTTAAAGTTGATATCGGGAAAAGAGCTGTACTCGGACTTCCTTTTCAGCGTGTTGCGCCTGGGAAATGTGCACAGGAAGGCGTTGGCCAGCAAACAGGCGATCTGCTGCTGGCTCAGGCTCAGCGAGGCGTTCTTCTGCTGCTTGAGCAACGGCACCGGCGATTGAATCAAGTCGGGCAGCCGCAGGGCCAGTCGGATGATGCGGGGCAGCAGGTCCTCGAAGAAGACCCTCGTCTCGCTCTCGTCCAGCTCCTCCTCGAACAG